AGGTAACAATAAAAGAAACATCACAACACCCTCTTTTCAGAGATCTATTTCCGAGTTCATGGCATCGGGCTACTGCAATACACGCAAAATACCTTTTTGTCTGTCAGACTTCTGAAGTAATTTTTTATGGTATTTGGTGCTCGTACCATCTCAGCTGGGGCACAGCAATTCAAGGATTTCGGTCAATGGGCCAGTAAATTGATAGAAGCAATGAGAATGGCCAGAGGACTAGAAAAGACAGCGTAAAAAGGTTGAAGGAAGTTAAATTGCTTAGTCCAGAGAATGCAGAATAGAAAAGAGATGTGATAATGGTGTTCAAATACACCGAGAGGAGATACAAAGCATGAACTTTTATGTCAGATGAGGCAAGACAAAAAATTATGAGAAATCAGATTAAGCTGACACATCAGGAATTCTCTCTGATGGTAAGGAGAGCGAGGCACTGAACAGATCACCTTAAAACACTACATAAATCCCGTCCTTGTCCCATCCTGGATAAGGCTACTTGCAGAAAGACAGAGACATTGCTGTGCTTGCCTTAGGGAAGAGTGTCTAGCTTACTTCTGAAGGTCTCTTTCAGTTTAGTGCTCTGCATTTTCTAGGCCACAAAGAAATGTAAAACAATCTAATCTTTGATCTATACTGAGGTTTAACTGTTATCTGATCTTTCCAGTTTACACATTTCAATTGTACATTGCATTTGTTAATACAGTAACTAACACCGCTCTGATGTCAACATGCAAGAGTAAGTATCTCTCAAGGGGGAACAGCAGCAGATGAGCGTCATGGAGTTTACAAGCTGGTGACTAACCAAGAACCCACTGACAAAAATCAGTAAAAGCTTCAGGAGTAACAAGGCAAGGTGGAGACCCTCTCCACAAGATTAATAAAAGAAAAAGGAATATAAGCATTTCTGCTGCTTAAAAACACCAACTGGGGTCTAGTAAACGACAGAAAGGAAAAAAAAAGAGGGAGATAAGAGGAATTGAGCTGAGAAAGGAATCTGGTTTAAATACGGAGGGAAGTTTGAAACGCTTGGAACCAATATACCACACAACGCCGGATCATGGTCAGACTGCAGTCTTGATCTAAACTCTCAAAGCCTTGATTGTTTATGGAGTTCAGCTGAGGCCTTGTGTCCAGTATGATTTACTGTGTATAAATACCTCAGCATATGTGGCAAGTCTTCCAAAATGTTCAGACATCTACTCAAACATTGTAAAGACACCAGTGAACTGGCGGAAGTACAATTCTTCTAGTTTCCCCATTTAGAAATTCAACATCCGCACGTATTCAGTATTCTTTTTAAGGACTATCACACCTCTGTAATAACCAACAGACACAACAGCTGGACTCTGCCTGTCATTGCAGTACGGCTTACATACCTCATCCATGCCAGAAGCTGTGAAGAAAATGCCAATCTCCTCTGCATATTTCTTTAGCTCTTTGTATTGGTCATGACTAAACTCCAAGTGGCGTTTGTGCTCCCCGTAGGTCTTTCCCCAGGAGTGTTCAGAGGTATAGGGCCTTTCTAAGGCTTTCTTGTTGAATTTGTACTCCAGTTCGCTCTTCTGGAACTTGGCACAGTCTGCTCCGCAGTCCTGCAAAACAAGCCAGCGCACACTGAGTGGAGGTGCAAGTGAAACTGTGCTCATCCTAAATTTGAACACAAGGATTGTGCAGCTAATGTGCTCACTTGCAGTGGAGTTTTCACATGATCATTGCAGCAATCACAGGAATGCTACAAACACAGAACGACAGAAGACCTGCACACATGTAAGCCCTTTATATTTCAAAATGCCTGTATACGCAGTAGAGCAATAATCTATAAAGAAATCATACTAAAACTACAAAACTGAATTGCCTCTTGCTACGCATGCCACTTATTTGAAGAGTTGGTTTCTGTGGCATTTTGCAGTCTCAGCTGCCATGTGATAATTCTACTTGAAAACCAGCGACAGGATTCTGTAGAACAAGGAGCACGGATCTGAAATTTGTCTGAAGTGACACAAACAGTGAAGTTAAGTTCTCCCCACAATATTCTGCGCAGCCATGGGTCTGAACGCTTTACGCCCTCATTTCTCCTTCAGCGATGATATGCCGTTTTCCATCGCAGGCCTATCTCATGCACACAACACCAAATTTTAAAACAGCCTGGCTGCCTTACCAGATGACACAAGCATTACCTCAAGGAAACTCAACACAACCAAGGCAAACCGGAGGTTCATCGGAGACGGATATTCTGCGCAGCCATGGGTCTGAACGCTTTACGCCCTCATTTCTCCTTCAGCGATGATATGCCGTTTTCCATCGCAGGCCTATCTCATGCACACAACACCAAATTTTAAAACAGCCTGGCTGCCTTACCAGATGACACAAGCATTACCTCAAGGAAACTCAACACAACCAAGGCAAACCGGAGGTTCATCGGAGACGGCTCGGCAGTCACGGGATTCTTCCCACATTCACAGTCCGCTCACGGGACAACTGACGGGCCGCCG